TGATTCATGTTCTGTATATAGGTAAACCTGTTTTCAGTATTTTGTACTTATTTCTATTTATCTTAATGTTCACTTAGCGAGAATGTTACATAGCATGAATTTCATACCATTTATGACTTTTTTATATATTCAATAACGAATCAATAAATTCTAAATGACATCTAATACCTTTATCCTGAAAACAGCATGAATATTGGTAACACTATTACACCGTGGAATTTCGCCGTCGGCGAGCGGGTAGGCATTTGGCCACCGAATTTATGGTCAAACTTGGCGTGGAGGCGACGGCGCGAGTTTTTATTATGATCAGACCAGTGGTCCGTGAAAGCAAGTTGCCGCTGAGAAGTGCAATTTCCATACCTCATGTTCATTTCTGTCGCCTTAGTACTTTCTTAATAAAAGTTGCGGTCTTATTATCAAATAAATTTAAGAATGACCGACCGCATGCAGTAGAGAAAGTAAAGTTAAATTAAAAGTTATTAAATAAACGTAGGTGTTTGACACTGTTAACATAATTCTATATTTAGTAGAATATCTTATGTATCTATACAAATTTTCCTAACTTCATAATATCTCAAAGAAAAACAGTAGGCAGGTTACAAATACACCTACATATCGATAAATTCAGTGTCAGTTACTCATTTTATTTAAAAGGTATTAATTAAATAAAAGGAATTAGATAGCACATGATGCGGCTTACAATCCTAGAACAATGCATATGCAATAACAATACACTTGCAGTAAATATAATGCTCTATTGGATATCAAACATATCTATGTAATACGGGTACATACCCGAAATTGTCATTTTGACGCAAATATCGGCAAAAGATGCATCAATAATGGCATGTATTGCAAAAGCATTCATATACAGAATGGTCTCTATTTATCAACTTGTATTAAGTAATAGGTAAAATCTAATTATACTAAATATTTTCATTTACAAAAATGAACTTGAGCGGTATTTATTTTTTGTTAAGAACAACCTAAATTGGCTTTCTTTTAATTTATTAAAAATATAAAATAAACACAAGTACGAAGCTAAAAAAATTCGGTACAAGGGGGAAGAAGAAAAATAAACAGATGAATTGTAAACTCCCCGGTGGGTGGTAAACTTTAAGTAAGATGTGAAAAATGGGGATATGAAAAGAAATAATTTTCCGCGCGACTCGTCTGTGCAAATGAGCTGAATGAAGCAACTCATGCGAATGATTGAGTGCTGCTTGAAATGAAACAATGAAATACGTCTGAAAAGATTGCGCTTATCTAGGGACTTTTTTTTTGCACAATGATGGCATACAAACATACATTCTGGTGGTAAGCGGCAAATGTATGAAGACCTGCAACATTGTATGACTGTCACATTCGCATTTTCTATTATACATTGAACTAAGGTGTTAATAAATATTTTTCATATTAGGAATTCATAGGTGTCTAACAAAATACGCCTAGGGGAAAAGGGATTGTTAGCAATGGAGTTTGACAGCCCCATTGCTAGCAGTATGCCCTAATAGGTCGACCTCCACGTGGTTCCCCCTGGAAACCATCGTGAACAATTCTTGTTGAAATCGTCACGATGGGCTAACCGACCTGCTTCATCCTCATCTATGGTATCCCGCCGGTGTATACCGATAGCACGGGTGGGGTGGGGTTACCATTCCATTATCACCCATAAAAAAAATTAAAATACGCCTATTTAAAGCATAGTTAAAACTTTTCACGTGATTCGAACGAGCTTTGTTTATTAAGTTAAATCCACTCGAAATAAAAATTAAGATTTTATTACACAAAAAAAACTACCCTAGTAGTAAAATTATCAACAGAGGCTAAAAAAATATCTTTAAAATACTACTTTTTTCATTAAATATAACTACCATATAGTGGATGGAAAGAAATACTAGAACCAAAATTAACCATGTTTATAAATAATCTAATGCACGTTTAATTATAAACAGACACTCTTTTGTATTAAGATATCTAAATATGTATTGAACGTCCATTAATCGCAAGTTTATCTTTTTTGTTGAAAAACGTATTGGCTCACTTTTTTTCTGAAATTGCCCAGATACATTGTTACAAGCATGCTGAAGATGAAACTATTACAACCGGCTAGCGTCACTATAAAATTTCATACACATCCATGCAAATACATTCGTATACTACCTTATTAGGCTTTTCGATATTCCTAAAAATTAGGCGGCACTTCTAGAGCCATCTGTGGATAATGTGAATAACATCAGATTTCTATGGCCGAACAAGTCGTCACGAACAAGCACTTATAGTTGCTTAGTAATTCATAATATATATGATAATGTTTAATAATATAACAAAAATTATCTATTGCTTCCTGTTCTGTTTATCCTATTAATATGATTTTAATAAGTAAAATTTACTCAAATCAGTGATAAAAATTTTATCAACTTAAAAGTATTGTTTTATTTGAAGGCACAATTTCAATATTTTGCTATTAAAGATATTTCCACTTCCCGCTAGATGGCGCATTTATTATAAAACAATATGTCTCTCCAAATAACTATGTAATTAGACGTATATTTTATTATTATCTATATAAATACGGTCAATAGGGATTAAAACTAAAAATATATGTTTTTCTATGAAATATATGTTTTCTTTAAAATTTATAATTACACAATATGATGAATCCATAGGAAATACGACATCTATTATTCATATAGGTAGTTAACTTTACTACGAAAAGTAAACTGCTTTAGTCAACACGTCATTGGTTTCTCGTCTTCTAATCTCTTGCTAACTTATGTTTTCCTGGTATTTTAAAATAAAGACTGCTGTTCAACGGAACTTTGACGTTATGTGCTGGCAAAACAAAAACCCGTGTGCGTAGGTAGGGTAGGTTTCTTATTTCTCTAGTTTAAATTTAATAACCACAACAATATGCAACTTTGACATTTCATGTAATGTTTTTCCCTTTACGAATTTGGACCTTTTTAATAGATATTATTTTATTTTTAGAAATTAACAATAGATTTTTGGGATACATATACACGTAAAGGATTGTTTATTTCTGACAAATATGCGCCTCTTGATTAAAAATTGTTGGATCTTAGTTAGATATCTAGTTAAAGCTAAGAAATAAGGACATTGACCAGGAGGATCTGTTTATAAAATGCTGTATAATGTTTTCCACCTTTTGCTATCCTATATTCTCCTAGTATTTTAAAATAAAGATTGCTGCCGCAGTCTTGGCCGGTGAATGCGGATCTCAAATATAGATGGCGATTTTTCTAATAATGTATGTCATAAGAAAGAGATGTCACATAAGTGATTTAATCCATGATATGCTGTTTATATAATGATATTATATCAGATGAAGGATCTGGCGCAGATTATTCGATATCGAAAATTAGTCGTCACTTCGGAATTTTAATAAATTAAGATTAAAGTCAAGTAAACCTTTGTCATTTAATTCTCATTGTTACGTACACAATTAAAGTATCCAGTCTAAGTAAATTTAGAGATTCGCGCTCTACAATTATCGTGATGTTATGTTATATATTTAAAAATGTATATAAATCGATCGATATAAATTTCGTTCGGGATTATGAACAACAAAAATGTGTCGCGGCAGACGTCGTATGTGATGTAGAGATGATATTGACTGATTCCACAAACTAGTACGACTTGGCTAGCGATCGTCTTAAATGGAAATAGTTTAGGGAGGCCTTTTCCAAGTAGTTGGACACCATAGGCTATTGATTGGTTGATTGACGGGACTATGAGTAAAAACCTAATATTAACGTCACATTTGGACTTTTATTAATTAATCACGAACATAACAATACGTGATTGATTGAATAAAACATAATTTAAGTTTATGTTCCACAATAACAAAAACTGACTTCGATTGTGTCAAATAGAAACTGAACTACTGAAACGATTTTGATAAAATTTTTATGAGACCAATCTGTAAGTATATTCATTCAGAAAAAAAGGAATTTTCAATATCGATTTATAACTAAGTTATGAGCTAAAAAGAAATTCTTTTATACAAGGGGCAAATGAGCAAGCGGCTCATCAACTTCAGAAGCATTGCAAGTATGTTGTCGGCCTTTTAAAAAAGAATATGCTCTTTTCTTGAAGGCTATGATATCGTATTGGTGGGGAAATACTGCTGCTAGAAGTTAATTCCAAATCGTGGTTGTGCGTGGAAGAAAGTGCCTTTAAAAGCGCACGGTGGAAGGCCGCCACTTATCCAGATAGTTGGGGTGGAACTTTAGTTTGTGGCGGGTTGTACGGTGGTGAAAATTAGCAGCAGGTATCATTTCGAACGATTCCTCAGAGCTCTCCCCATGATAAATTCAGTAGAAGATACAAAGAGGTGCAACATCTCTACGCAGTTTCAGTGGGTCGAATCGGACAGTAAGGTGTTGATCATCAATTCGTAATAACTCATAAAAAAATTGTAATAACCTAAAAAAATACAACTGAATTGAGAACCGTCGTCTTTTTTTAAGTCGGTTGAACACAACGTATCTTTTTATTTATGTCAATGAATTTTTATAAAAGTTGTCTGATTATAAATCATAAACCATGAGGAGTACCAGACGTCACAGTATATTCTTATTCTATGATGTCTATGCTGCTATTCATGTTTATTTCTGTATTATACAGCTACCAAATTCCATTAGGTAGGCCATTAAAACTAATTAAATTACAACTATAATAGGAATGAGAGTATCTTGTATGGAGATATTTAACTTACAGATGATGTTGCCAAAGGAAAGAAACGTATTGAAAGCTGATGAATCAAATGAATCTTAGTTGTTAATTTTTGATGTTTAATACATGTTTTATAAATTTAACATTTATTTCTATACATGAATTCTACTTTAAAAAAAGTAGAATTTGTCGTGTGATACGAATTGTAATGTGATACGAGTAAAAGGCGAAATGAAAGACATTCATAATAGGTATAATATATAATTTTATATTTTATAACAAATATATAAATATATAATAGCACGCTGTAACAGCATGCGTAGTGGGATCAATAAAAATATTTACATTGTTATTATTAAAGCTTAAATTAATTTAAATTATATTGTTTTCCCTATAACTAATTTCAACTTGTTTTTTTATTTACATAAAAAAAGAATACTTTTACAATAATTATTAATACCAGTCATCAAATAAAGGCAGTTGATTTATAAATTGTTAATAATATCTACTTATTTACATATACAGTCGATTATTATCAAAATACTGGACGGAACAAATAACATAGGTAGTCTCATATTTGATAAATAGTGAAATAATATTCACAACAATAAGGCACTCAACGCTGATTTTAATTTAATATGATGTTGAACTACTGTCTGGCCTGAGTTGTTTTGTTTGAACATCATCATACGCTATAGTGAATATACTCTTCTTTTCGGTGATTGGTAATCTCTTGATATTACCTGTCTGTTGAACTAGAGTGCTCATTGCAATACCAGAATCATTATCATCAATTTTTCCAACTGTTCTCACTTCAACCGCGCTATCGCCGCCTATATTGATTTTTGAAACATGAACCTCTGGGGCATTCTTTTTATCTTCTTCATAGCTAGTTGAAATTGAAATGCTATGAGTAAGTGCACTTTCTGATATGTCTTGCTTCGTTTCATTTTTCTTTACATCGTCTTGGTTTACATAAATTGGCTGTTGTTCTATTGATTGTCTACGAGGAATATTAGGCTGACCGCCTAGATATTTAGGTATATGTGTAGGTTGTATATAACATAGAGGGTTTTGATTTTCGTACTGATGTTCATACCTATGCTCAGAATGCTGCAGTAAAGGATGAACGTCTGGTAGTGGTCCTTCGGGTACTGGGGTAACTTTTTCCTCTTTTAGTAATCGAAGATGAATAAATTCACTTTCTTTTGTTTTGGAGTTTTTTTTTGCCTCTGCGTTATCACTTAGGTTATCTTTACTAATAATTTTACCATATTTTCCTGATTTCTCCTCTTTTTGAGCATTTTTATCTATTTCATTTTTTGATTTGGAAGGTCTTTTGGGTTTACTTGGAATAACCTTTTCTGATGGCGGTTTAGGAACTGTACTTGAAGATTTTTTGCCGTACCATTGCATGTATCTTGGTAAGCTTTTCTGTGCAGCCTTGCCAGTTTCCGATGACTTTGTAGATTCATTTCCTTCATCATTCTTCTTGTTACTAGACTCAGCATTACTGGAACTACCTTTTTTATTATTAGTATCAAATTCATCCGTAGTTGGTGACTTTATTGGTTGTTCTGCAAGTTCTCGTGCTTCAGTAGAGGAACCCTGTCGTGAAAATATTAAATTACGATTATCTTTTGATGCAGAGCTATTTCTACTTTTTTGTTCGCTGTCTTTACTACTTTCATGTTCTAGAGCAAGAGTACGTTTTGGAGAAATATCGTCTTCTACTGGAGATTGTCTCTGAAGTCTTAATCTTTTATCACTCGTTTCAGAATCCACTTTTTCTTCTAGAGAATCAGATATTTCCATCAGAATCTCTTTTCTTAATCTGCTTTGTTTATCACTTTCAGATAATTTGATTTGTGTTGAACATACTGTTTCATTCTTAGATGTCGTTACTGTGCTCTTGGTTCTATCTCCGTAATTTTTTATATGTTCTTCTCGTTCATTTGTTTTACTTATTTTTACATGTTTTTCACTCTCTAAAGACGGAGATACCTCACTTTCTTCAATAATAGGGGTTTTAATTTTTCTTTTTAAATCATATACTCTGATACTTCTTCTAGGATCCTTATATTTAACTTTTTTCTTCGGTTTTTTCCTTTTGACCCATGCGACTTTTTTCGTTTCGTCTTCTACTACCATTTGTGATTCGTCTTCACTATAGGAGTCATTGTCACTTCTAGCTTTTCTTCTTGTAGGCTTAAGTAATTGAGGTTCAGTTTGTGTACCTATATGACATTCTGTCTGAGTAGCTATCACTGAATGTCCAGGTAAGCTTTGAGTTTCTAGTTTGCTCTCTACTTGGGATGCAGTTTCCTGATTTTGCAATAATCTTTCCCGTTCAATGAGTATTTGATGTAAGAGTTCGTTTTGTTTTCTTAAAGATGATTCTAAAAGCTCTTGATGAATTGACGATTTATTTTGCATTTCTAATAAAGCGGATTGCAAATAATCTGTTTTCAGCGGAACAGAACCAGGTACTTCGGGAGGAACATTAGAATAATCGTGATATTGATTCGGTGCATCAATTCCATGTGACCTTTGAAAAACAACTTTGGCTTCCTTGTCACTTGTAACATTATCTAAATCTGTTGTAACTCTATCCATTCTTTCTCTTATATGCTTTGCTTCTTCACCTTGTTCTCTAATAAACCTTTCCATAAGTAGATCTTTACCACTATCAACCACAACATACTGGGTATGTGGTATGAGAGTTACTGGTCTCTGTTGATGTATAGGAAGATTAACATATCTGTCTTCTTCGTTCTTACCTCTTGTTACAAGTCTTAGAATTTCAGTATTGCCATCTTTGATAAAATATTGATCTCTACCAAGGGAAGATTGAGCGTGTGCTTTTTCTTGAAATTCTATTTTGGCTCTATTTTCAACTTTATCATTTAAATTTTTATCGACATCAGACTTGAGGAAGACACCAACTTCGGAACCTCGATCAATTTCATGTCTGCGTATAGAATCATTATCCTGCTCTCTACGTTGATAGTGTAATGTGGCGATTCTATCGTAACCGTTTTCTAAATCTTCAATATATTCTTTGTGTTTATTAGCAAATGCTTCTTGAAGTTGCATTTCTTTAGTGTAGATTACGTTAGGACCATCCCTGTAACAAAAAGCTATATGTATATGATGCTCTAGACGATGCCAACATTTTGAAAATATAGATATCAGGTTGCCTTTATGTTCAAATAGAATATAATATTAGGTATACAAATATTTTAATGATTCTACATTCAGAGTTCAAATCTAAAATAAAGTAATTTCTGATCAAAAGAATATATCGTAATTAGTCAAACGTCCAAGAAGACTGTGTCACTCTTATATCTGTGAAAAATCTTTTTAAATAGTTATACAAGAGTATAAAATAGTGTAGTAAATTATTATAAAACATTTATTATTAATTTTTATAACGTACCTCATTCGAAAGGACTGTCTTGCATTATTGTATCGGTAGTCATTATCTTCAGCAGCATGGACAAACTCTTGATGCAGATCGCCAGGTGTTGAAGCCGGTTTCGAAGGTTCTTTAGATCTGTAATTTCTCTTGTTGAATTTCCATTGTGTTGGTTTTGTTCTCAAGTCTGCCTGTTCTGCGCTCCAAGCCTCCCGTCTCCTCCACTCGGTTGCTTGTATAGATTTATTTTCTAAATTTTGCGTCGTCTTGTTTTCCCTCCCAAGTCCCTTGTCCCGGACCACTAAATGCACGTCGTCCTCTGTGGAGTTGACACGTATCACTCTTTTCCTAGAATTTATTAATGGATATCTATGTACCTAAGCTGTTCTGTTAAACTTAATATGTAATAATGAATATATTAATAGATGAGGGGGAGGAGGGGTCAGGTCTATTTTGCCTATGTAAGATGTAAATATTTTCGATAATGCATGCATTTAGTTTTGTTAAAATGAGAAGTGAGATGATGTAAAATATTTTGTGCAAGCAATGGACTTACGCCCATTACAATTGCAAGAGTAAAAAAATATTACAAAATAATTACCCAAAAGTAGCAAAGCTGAGATGTAAACATGCACGTGAGTATATTAATTGGTGCGTTTTAGTCTGTTAATAATGAAAAACAGAAACTTAATTAAACAATAATTGTAATTAAAACAAATAAGTGATAATTATTATAGATAAAATTGTGATAAGCGAGCTAGTGTTATATTATTTTTACGTTCCGATTAATTTTATTTAATAATACACAAAGTAAATACATTTAATAAATATGTATTTACTTTGTTTCTTAATTCATATTATTGAATAAAACAAATTTAATTAAGTTTACAAATTTGTATTTTAAATGTTTGATAACTTCATTAATTAAACCATAATACACTAATGCTAATGACCCTAATATAAAATTAGTATAATCACATAAACTAATTCTAAAACTTCGTTACAACATAAAATAATTTTATACGTGCACTTTAATTACTAATTACAGTACAAAATTAATAATTACCTTGGGGGCATGTAGAGGGGACAACCTTCACAAATACAACAGCATATTAATAAAAGTAATACTAAAGCTACTAATATTGCCAGTAGTATCAATAGCCAGAATAGCAGACGGCTTTCAGCTCTGTAGAGATTCTGAAATAAAAAAAAAATTTCACTATAACTCAAACAAAGATGATACGTTTATTGTCTACTTTATAATTAGTTAGCCGTATCCCGCGGCTTCGCCTCTTAAATTAGTAAATATGTAAAGTACCAATATGCTAAGTTAGGATATAACCTATCCATGTATATACCAAATTTAATTGAAATTTATTCAATGGTTTTTGCTTGAAAACTAACAAATACCCATCCATCCATCGCTACATTTTTTTTTGTATTTATTACATTAACAGAATTTATGATTTAAAGCCTTGAAAATACAATTAGAAAAATAATGCTTCGAAAGTCAATTATATAGTCAATAGCAAAAATAGCTGATTATAATCAGAAAGTTAATACTAATGCACGCAGTTCGAATTAAAACTGAGTGTAGAACACTTCTGAAGTATGTGAACATAAAATATATCAAATATTAGTTGATTATAATATTAAATGCTGATTTGCTATTTTTAACCTAAAAAGTCAAATAATATAATTTGCATCAGAATTAAAAAGTGAAAGTACTTACAGAGTCGCCATTATCAGCTGTAGATCCATGGTTTGTATGGCCAATAATTGTCCCAGAATTAGTCTGTGGATTGCCAGTCCCAGAATTGGTATTTGTTGTAATACCAGTTGAACCTCCAGAATTAGTTCCACCTCCAGGGTTTATGGCACTAATAGGACCTGATCCTCCACCAGAAGTAGACGCTTCACCAGAATTGATACCACTACCAGTAGTATATATCGTTACATTCTTTGCCAATTGTTCTTGAAGTTTTGCAACATTTATAGCTGTGTTTCCTGTCATTCGCACTACGGCTATTACTTCACTCCTAAAATATAGAAAAAGTTATATTTACATATCTAATATAATATCTATAATATAATCTAATATAAAAAACAAAAATCATTGGTGCATCGTCATCATTATATCAGCCGTTAACTGTCTACTGCTGAATATTAGCCTTCTCCTATGGGGACTTTGCTAGTAATGGCCATGTTTGGCAGGCGAGTTGGTAACTGCAGTTAAACTTTGGCGATGTTTTAAGAGGGGCGTTTGTCCATCCCTCGACAATTAAATTCCCTTAGTGACCTCTTATGACATTCGTGGAAAAGGAAGAGATAGCCCATTCAATACTGGGACTACATTTCGACCACTGATGCATGTATAGTTAAAATTTATTTATTTATTTCCTTGTCTTTATATAGATAAAATTATAATTACTTTATTCAAAATTTTTGACTTTTAAGAAATAAGTTAATGCTTCGTGATGTCTTTACTTACTTTGTTTGACTAGACTCTTGACCATTTAAATCGGTTGTACCACTATCTTGTCCTTTATATGGTTTAATCTCAATTATAGTCACTTTTCCTCCAGAAAGTGTAGTAAGTACCTCCTCTAGTTTCTTTCTATCAGGATTTACTCCAGGCACTATGAATGACATTGTTCTTGTTTTGCTCTCTGGCGGGTATATTTTGACCATTGTAGTAGAGTACAGCATTGGTTCTCCAAGATCATGTGCTCTAATGGTTAAAACAAAAACATCGTTGTCTTGATCTGATTCAAATTGACGTTTTCGTCTTTGAATGTTTTGTTTCTTCGTCCTTTTTAGTGCTTCTAAAAGATACAGCTCTCCTATAATGTATAAGATAAGGTTTAATTTAGGCACGATAATAATATAATAATAGGCAAATAAAGGTAATTTTTATTTATATTGATTTTTTTATGTAATGTAGTTATGTAATTTTTATATATTTATTATGTTGTACTGTGTAATATTCATTATAATGTATAGATTTCATAATTACCTGTTTCCTCATTAATTGCAAACTTTCCTTCCGAGTTTCCTTGTATAATTTCATATCTGACTACATTATTTGGTGACTCAGCGTCTTTATCAACTGCTTTTACGAAAGCCGCCGAAGTGAAGTTATTCAAACTTGGCGATAATACAAACTCGTATAGCGATCTTTCAAATTCTGGTGGGTTATCATTTACATCTAATAACTTAATAATTAATGGCACTGTGACTCTTAAACCTACTCCGTCTTCATCTCTAGCCTCTACTAAAAAATGCAAATCTGGCATCGCCTCACGGTCGAAGCCGTGATTATTTGTGGCTACAGTAATTAACCCTGTTGTTGGATCTAAATGTAACGATGTATTTAGATATCCTAATATAGCAGTATATTGGATTTTTCCAAAAGATCCCGTATCTACGTCATCTGCAGCAACTTGGGTTACTCTTACACCGGCAGTGACATTTTCATGTAGTTCTACATCATAAGATTGAGCTAAGAATACAGGAGGATTGTCGTTGACATCATTAAGATAAACAGTTACATTAGCCAACGCGGAGAGATTTGTTGCTGGACCAAGTTCTTGAGCTAATATCTGGAAATAAATACAAATAATTTATATCAATAAGATTGGTAACAGCAATTTGCAGGTGACTTTTGTAATTGTTATGGTTAATTTTGATAAATAAAGAAATTTATGAAACAAAACATTTATGACAAAAGATGTAATCTACGTGAACGAAGGTTATGGATTAAATGAAGTTCATCACTGATTTATTTACTTTGTCTAAATAGGTATCAATGCATAATAAAAATAATAAATCGGTTTTTGTATTAGGCTTTTTTATTAGAAATAGATTTAGTATTGTTGCACATGAAATATACAAAGTAAACACTCCATTAAATTATTAAGTACATTAAATTGTAGAGGTACTAGGTAGTACATTTTCATTTACATAGTATACAATGGACTCTTAACCTGAAAATCGGTTTGTGGTGGACATTAATGAATAAATTATTATATGTATATGGGAGTACTCAGTTTAGAATGTATGTAAACGATTCACTGAGCATTGAAAGGAACAATTTGAATTCAGAAGATAACACAGTCACTTTTTTAGTCTAATGTTCAAAATAGAAACAAAGATGGTAGGAAATATATAGATGTGAGGAGTTTTTTAAGAAATCTTTCATTTAAGAATTGTTGTTTTGTTAACAATTTAATAAAAAATTTGTATTTGAAATGTTCATAGTTCACCACTGCAAATATTATACATTATTTTTTATTATAGTATGTTTTATAAATAATTTTAGAATTAATGGCAATATATAAATAGGTAAGTTTAAATTTTTTATGAAACATAGAATAGCAAACAAGTATACATTCCATCTGATGGAAAATGGTAATCGTTGCTTAGATAAACAGCATATATGAGATAACTATATCCATTATCAAAAGTAGTACTTGTACATTCTTAATGAATCTTTGCATATTTTTGCAAGAGCAATAAAAACTTTATAGAGTTTATACTTTTTTGTGATAAAAAATTCCATAGATATAAAATTAACTCAACTTCGAATGATACGGTTTTAAAACTCAATAAAGGTATTCGATATTTAAAATCTTAAACCCTTAGATATGTGATAATAACATAGATTAAGAATATTGCTTGATAATAAGGTCTTAACTCTTTTCTTAAACGGGACTTCATATTTGGAATTCAGTATTGATTCAAAATAGACGGCGAGTTTAAATAACACGATAATGATATTGTATAAAATAAAACATAGAAATTACCTGAAATATCACAGATTTGCGAGCTTCAAAGTCCAACATAGTGTTATCCCGGACTTTGATGATGAATTGAGCATGTCTCTCTGCTACCGTAGGTGATATCTCGAATGTTCCATTATTTCCTACAAGGGTGAGAGAGAAAACGCCATTCTTGCCTGCATCATTATCGTTTACTTGCGGGATATAGGGATCATTGAAAGTTAATGCAGTGCCCTGGAGTGCGTTCTCATCCAAATAAGTGATGTAGCTGTAAGTTTAGAAATACATAAATGTGAGTTACAAGTTTTTTGGTTTTAATATACAAATAGAAGTAACATAATAGTAAAGTAGTACCATTGATTCTAAACGGAGAGAGACAGTGGGGTCTTGACTTATATAATTATTATATTAATGTGTATTATGTATATATATGTATATTATTTACAATACATATGTATTGTATGAGATTTATGTATGTATAATATAATTTTTGTAAGTGTATTATTCTATATGTTTGTATGTTCATTTATCTTAAAATGTACTAATGCTGTTGTTTTGCAAAATATTTATTTAAATAATAAATTGTTGTGTTAATTTCATGCACCATCATTTATTCTCTCGGTTTAGCGTAACGGTTGACTAGTAGAGAATGCGATCAGGCATTAAGTCCCCCCGATAGACATGTTTTAATGTGTGCAAAAGTGTAAATAAATAAAACAAATGCCTATTAGCTGCTACTTACAACTGATTCTCGAAGTATGGCGGTGAGTTCTCTCGTTCAGGAAGAATGAAAGCGAGCTGAACGGTAGAAGACATAGCTTCGGGCTCTTCTCTCGACAGTCGTACCTCTTCGGCAACCACTGTGAGGAGTATTGGCGCACCAGCGTGGGATATGGCTGCGATTTCTTCAATCGGCCGTTCAAGAGTTACTTCACCTGAAAAGGATTTAAGAATATTTATTTATAAGCGATTTTAAAAGTTTTTATTTCTTTGTTTGCTTTTGTTTCTACAGCTAGCTGATAGCTCGATAGATGTTTTACCCCGTACCACTAGCGTCCACAGTCTTTTTCTTATTGGGTTAAAAACTACGTTGAAGCCTTTTCTTGCAATAGTACTTCAGATCCATATTAATTATATTACCACCGTTGAGGTGTTTATTTTCCTTTGTGTTACGAAATATACATAAAATAGTAATATTATCATTAAATTAAACAAAAAGGACTTTCCAAATTCTATAAAAATTATAGACCGCTAGCGTAATCTAGTGATTAGAATTGGAATTATATTTATTCGATCTTTTCTTTTTATATGAAATTTGAAATCAAAATTATATTTTATGAATATGATAAACCATTTGAGAGTAATGTAATTTATTGACAGATTACAATGTTTTATAAAAATATAAATAAAAGTATTATTACCGCCATCTGTTGATACATATTAACACCAATTGTGCTCTCATTAACCAAGCTACGCTTTCAGTAGGGGCGAATATAGTTATACTGCTGGTTAATACCGGCAGATGTCACGTTTTTTTCTTTCTAATTTGAGATTACAATTTAAAACCGAAATCGAAACCTGTTTATACACTAATAACTGAATGTTGTTGCTGAAAATTTCTGTTTATTTCTACATAGATAAAACATGGTTATAGTTTCGTTACTATAACTATACTGTATTACATTACCTGTGATCACGTTTTATTAAATTCAATTATACGTAGATGATTGATAATAATATATCTAGGCACCACAGGGAAAGAAAAGGATAGTTAGTAGGTGAAAGGGACTAGCGACCCCACTAACAGCAACATACGATGTCAGGTGGACCTTCATACAGTCTTCCCTAGAAACCATAGTGATTAATTTTTGGTGAATATGTCACGATGAGCCAATCGACCTGACTTTATGTATCATCCTAGTACCCTGCTAGTGGATTAGTATTGTTAGTAATAGGAACTAAAGACCCCATTGCTAGCAATATACCCTATCAGGTCGACTACCACGCGGTTCCCCCTGGAAACCATCGTGATTAATTCTTGATGAATTCGTCACAATAGACTAATTGATCGGATTTCTTCCTCACCTGTCATCATTTATTGATGTCCAGAGGGAGACTTTGTACAAAAGTCGATTGCTTGGATACCTCTGTCCCATTCGTGTTTCAACCAAGAAGCAGTTGTGTTTGCATGACTGTGTTTCGGTTTGAAGGGTGGGATATGGCGTGAATTTACTAGGTACAGAGGAATAACACCTGAGTCCTCAGGAATGGCAACGCATGGGGGTATCATGGGCGAAACAGTATATTCTGTTATGTCCATGGTACTGCTCATGTCTATAGGTGACGATTACCACTTTCCATCAGGAGGGCCGTCAGCTTGTTTGCCATTCTAAGTTGTATAAAAAAAAGTCTTGGTAACGTATATCGACACCGCTAGGGGGTTTATCATTTCATTATCAACCATTCACGTAGTACCTCGCTAGCAGGGGGAAGGGTTCGTTAATAATGATCATTAGTAACCTTATTACTGTCAATATACTCAGGTCGACCGTGCCCCGCCAGCTTATACCGAGGGGATGTCGTAAAAGGCCAACTAGAGAAGAGTTACAAATGCACAAATACACCAGCCCAAGAGAAGTAAACCTCGCAATAAAACTCACATGCTTTATATTATTCTCAATTTCGTGTATAATATAGTATATATCATATATGTGTAAGTATATTTATTATTCATATATATTTATTCGTTAATATATGTAATTTCAGTATGTATGTATATCAATAATTAGTAGTACCGCATTCGAGTATTCTGACACTTCCCTATGGTTGACTGGGAGAGAATGCTTTTAGCATTACGTCCGCCATGTATACATATTTGTACTACGGAATAAATAAATAAAAATGGTTATCTTGGTATTAGTAGCTTATTTTCTACTCTTATTGAGAAATATCCATGGCCAGTAATAGGACGTTAATTGTTAAGGTAACATAAGGGGTTAACCATCAGTTGCTCGGTAAGCCATTTGGGGTTTGAGTTGCGTCACAAGACGTTAACTGACTTAATTATCAACCCACATAATAGGATTGAATCTCTGTTGCGCTTTCATATGTCTGGTCCGTGTCAAGAGAAAAATGCGGATGTTAATTAGCATACAAAAGTGGTCTTTAACGCTGCGTAGTCATCTGTCGTGGTGACGAGGCGCAAATAAGGGACTCATTAATATTTCATAATTAAGCAAGTCGTGTACGTCGTATGAGTGGCATAATACGCGCTTGATGACATTATGAAATTGTTCTCAGATAAAAAAGGAATTATGTACTTGTTTACTACCTTTTCAAATTACCATAGAATGATAATGCAGAAAAAATAGTAAATAAATAAAAATAGTTTTTATTCAACTAAACTTAATAGTAAACATTTTTTAATAGACATTTTTTACGAATCTACCGGCCAATTAGGAATGCAATTTCAGCTAAGAACGTGCAAGAAACACAGCTGTTTCTTTTTTTCAAATAAGAGTTAAGTGTATGGTCAACAACAAAAAAATATATAGGAAAACCTGGAAAAAATTCCCATGAAAATCTATAAAAACCTACAATGACTTCCTCAATATAATCCCATACCTATAAAAGAACATCCTATGAAAAAAACCCTACAACGTTACATTGATCAATCAACACTATCATCTTGATTAGTGTGACTAGTATTTGTGTAAACATTCTCAATAAATAATAAATAAATAATAAAGATGATTGATAAATCTTTAAGGAATAATTAATGAATTATACGTATTTAATTTTATATTGTAACTGTAATAATAAAAAAATGGGGGAAGTTTTCGTGACCAGGCCTTTTGGATAATGGTACGTTTACAGTTGTAAATAATTATAATGCTTTTTTTTTGCCATAAGTATCCACTCATGGGCGATGACCCTTTCAATCATGAGATACTAACAGTACGAAACTGTTTCAGTCACCCTGTTACGAGCTTTGTTCGCAGAGATCAGACCAAATCACCTTTACTTTGTTGGGACATTGGCCCTATAATGTGACATTCATTGGTAGATGAAGATTTGTGTGATGAATTGTTGTGATAATTGCTATATTATAACATTTGTCGATTTAATATTATTTTAAGAATACTCAAGGTTCAAGTTAAATCTGCATTCCGCGGCTTCCAACCCATAGGTCGAGAGCTTAATTTAAATGAACTATAAGTCGTTATATATAATTTTTGCGTAATAGAGTGAATAACCAATTACATTCATATATCCATTCTTACAAACTTTAATCGCATTAATAATATTAAAAGAATTGACCGATAAATTCAACAAGCTGATTGTGTTGAGAGTAAAGAATCTTTTGGATTATTTTTTAATCGTAATCATAATTATGTAGCTTTATAGAGAGGATTATAACATTGTATGTACTGATAAATTACACATTAAAGTATTTTTATATATATTATAGGAAGGACAATAAGTCCTATTTGTGTATGTTGACACAATATATTGCAAATATATAGTGAAATTTTTATATATTTGTCAAAAACAGTTCCCAATGTTTGATATAATATCTCTAACTTAGTAAACCTATTTACTAAGATATCAGATAAACAAGTGTTTTATGTTTAAATCATCATGATTAAATCCAGAACTGGTCTTTAAATAATTATCATATCATTTAACTGAAATTCTCTATAAATAATTATATTTCCTACAGTATTAAAAATAATAGAAAATTATATAAATTTTCTATAGACTTAGATATAGAATCATAACGTGTATAATCTCCTTTTGTTTGACATCTGTCACATTAATCAAATGACGTATTGATGTATTGAAAATTTATCACGTATCTCTTAATTGTTTATTTGTATTTGTCTAAAATCATCATATATCAACCGTAACATACAACTAAATTATCAGGAATAAATAATCATGGTTTACACCAGAAATTTAATAGTATCCAGTAATCGCAAGTTCTTCCAAGGTGTTCTGATCAATGATTAGGATAAATTTACAACTATATATACAAAATGATATCGTGTGATTTTCCAATATTCTACTATTTGATTCCTTACAATGTAAATTTATTAAAGAAGTGAATAATCAGTGTTAGATGGTACTAACTGAAATATTGTAAAAAGTGACAAACTATAACTCAATTTTTTTAAAATAAATATATTTTTACTACTTGTATATCAATAAAGAATATACAAAATAATTAAATCCAAAATATTCACTAATATTAACCCTGTCTGAATTTTTAATAATGTCATCAACACACATCATATCAGCTTTTAAATGTCCTTCACAAGTGCATACAGAAATTTTATACTGAACCTCATACCTTAGTCAGAGAATCTTTTAGTACTTTTATTACCATTAGTAAATCCACACTTAATATCAGCATTAAATATTATTAGTAATCGGACACACAGAATGGCATTATCAGCTTGCTTAGGCAATATTAAAGTTTTAATAAATCAAGACAAAATATCTATTTAAACAATACATCCCATCCCCACATCCCATGAATTTATCTACTAACACAATAATGTATTAAAAGTATTACATTCACATAAAATCACTTGCAACAGTTAGTTGTTTCTTTGTCTCTTGTAAAACAAATCACATGTAGTCATGGTTAATCAAATATAGACTAAGAATCATTAATCTGGTCAACCGAGGCACTTCACCATGAATGTATGAACAGATATTCCAACCAACACTGTAATAGTGTAATATACAAATATTTCATCATCATCATCGTTCAACCATCTTCACAGGAATTTCCACCGGACACAAGCGCCCCACAATACACATAAAACAGTCATCCAAACAATGTGATTGTTTAATAACCCCTCTCTCTCATCATTTCAGAAACAAACCATAGTCACTTTAATGATTTTTGATAACTGAATCTCTATAT